GCTTACGAGTAGGAGGATGATAACACTTGTATCCTTTTTGAGTTGATCCATACCCAACGAACACACATCGAATGACACAAGGGTCCAGCTTACTTCTTTGATGAGATGGAACATGAGCATATACAACACAACCAAATATGCGAGGAGGCAGCTTGAGGACTGTAGGAAGAGAGACATGACGAGCCAAGGTGTTCAGTGGAGTTTCAAACTTCAAAACACTACTCGGCACTCGATTAATTACATATACTGCAGAAAGAAGGGCATGTCCCCATAAGTAGTGAGGGACCGATTTATCCAGCATGTAAGCACGAGTAACCTCAAGTAATTGTCAATTCTTTTGCTCTGCGACACCATTTTGTTGCGGAGTGAAAGATGTGGAGGTTTGATGAATGATGCCTTGGTCTCGAAAGAAATGTGCCAAGACATTGTTCACATATTCCCCACCATTATCAGACCGGAATACTTTGATGGAAGCTTGGAACTGTGTGGTAATCATAGCATGAAATTCACGGATTGCAGCGGAAACATCACTTTTATGAGCTAGTAAGTATACCCAAGTCATGCGAGTGCAGTCATCAATAAATGTAACAAACCATCTTTTTCCATTGGAAGAAACTTTAGCAGGACCCCAAACATCAGAGTGAACCAAATCAAAAGGGAATTCCGTTTTATTATCACTTAAGGGAAAAACAGTTCGATGGCTTTTGGCCAATACACAGGTTTCACACTGAAACTGAGAATGATCTAAGCCACGAAACAAAGACAGAAACAAACATTGAAGATAGCCAAAGGATGGATGTCCTAGACGACGATGCCAAAGCCAAATCTGATGTTGATTGCGAGCTCGTGAGCTGGAACCTTGAGTATGAGCTGCCCTTGGTGGTGAAGAGACCATCAAGGAATACAACCCCCCCTCTTCGTTTACCATGCCCAATCGTCGCGTGAGTCGTGAGGTCCTGAAAAAGACAATGGGAAGGATAGAATGTGGCATAACAATTATGTGAGTCAAGTAATTTTCCAACAAACAGCAAATTGCAATTGATGGAGGGAACAAGTAGTGTATGAGATAAAGATAAGGAAGGGGAAAGTGATATAGTTCCTTCACCAGCAACATTAGAGGGGACTCCATTGGCACTAGTGATGTAAGGATGACGAGACTTAGAAGATATTGTGGAAAACATAGTAGAGTCAAAAGTCATATGATCAGTGGCACCTGTGTCAATTATCCATGTAGTGGGTCGTGTACCTGATTCGGAGTCGGAGAGTAGGGTGGAAGATGGAGAGGCATCGGTAGTTATAACACATGCTGCCTTGGGTGTTTTGTTGCGGGACTTGAGAGCATCCCACCACTCAGGATAACCATGAAGCTTGAAGCACTTCTCAACAAGATGATCACCACCACAATGAGTGCACTTCTCAGTTCCCTTTGCATTGTCAGTTTTGGGACCCCGGGGGGGAAGTCCGGAGGACGTACGGTGTGGGGGCCGATATGGCTTGACCGCCATTGCACTCCCACCGCCAAGCATGGAAGATTGGCGATTATCTTCTTCTACCACTAGTGCATAAGCTTCAATGACTGCTGGAAGCGGATTCATGGCAAGAATCCGACTACGAACGGAATCAAAGTTGGGATCGAGTCCTCCCAAAAAATCGTACACACGTTCCACCTCAAGTGCTTGTTGGTGAAGAGCCACATCATCGGGATTGGTATGTTTGCAGGGACGGAGGCTGTCAATTTCCTGCCATATTATGTGTAATTTTTCGTAGAATACATTCACAGGTTCACCACTTTGAGAGGTGGTGACTGACTGACGACGGAGTTGGTACAACTTGGAGCTATTCTGTGTGACAGTATATGTCTTCCGAGTTGCGTCCCACACCGCATAAGCCGTTGAGCAGTGATCAAATAAGGCACGTACATTTTTGGTCATGGAGTTGAGGAGCCATGACTGCACCAAACAGTTGTCTTCATCCCAAGCTTCATAGCTAGGATCATCAATGGCAGGGGCAATCTTTTTACCATTAATGAAACCAGCCATACGACGAGCAGTGATGGCCAAGCGAACACTACGAGACCATGCAGGATAGTTGGACCCATCCAACTTATCAGGAGTAATTGGAGAGTAGTCATGAGAGGACCGGGGTGGTGGTGGTGTTGTGGAGTCGATCTTGGTGGAGTCGATTTTAGAGGAGTCGTCCGTGGAGTCGTTGATGGAGTCGTTGGTGTCACCCATGAGGTAAGTATATAAAAGGATGTAGAGGAAGAAATAGCTTAAAACTTCAGCAAACAAGAGCACAAAAAGGGCTTGTGATCAAGACCAATTTTGAGGCAAGGCAAAGTATGAGGTAGGAATAATATAACAGCAAATTATGGGCAAGGATAGGTAGAGATTTAGGCAAGAACAAGGTTATGCAGAGGCAACCAAAATCGATTGCTCTGATACCATGCCAAATATAGTGTAATTGAGAGAGTTGAGAATGTAGAACAAGAAGAACAAGATAGGTTTTGCAGAGAATTCAAATCTGCCAATTAATTACTTACTTGGTGAAGGGTTAGATATACAAGTATACAAGGTGATTATTAGTTACAAACAATGCACAAGACATGGAGGGAAACATGGAGAGTTTCCATCCCTAAAACAAGGAATATGAAAACAAGGAAAAGTAACAAGGTGGTAGACAAGCCATTTAGGGATGTCTATGTTTTGTCTTTGTCTTTACTAACATTCCTTACCTATGAAGTCTCCTGAATTCCATTGAAATTCTGATTGATAAAAGTCTCATCTCCTCTGGTTGTTTCGTTCTGTGTGATGGAGGTCCATAGACAGTCAAACTATGGAATTGGAGAAGAGAAGATGATTGGAGGGAAAGAGAAAGACAACGTAGAAAAAAAGATGGAGAGAGTAATCGGGAAGAGAGATGAGTAAATATGAATAATTAATGTTGTGTTATTCTTGGGTAAAAGCGGAAACTAAAATATTTTGTACAAATTTGAAGTAAAAATTGGAGGAAGAGTAATGATCTTAAGCTTATATTATGGCGTATGTTTCTGTTTTTTTGATGAATTTGTTATGATTTTTGAAGTTAAAACATTAAAAAATAGTAATAAATGGAAGATAATATCACGTGGCAGCACCTGAATGGTGCATCGTTAGTGCTTCATACCAGCGTCATTATCGCATAGCCACGTGTCATCAGTGTATCATTTTGTCTATATTTATCTTTAAAAATTCACAAAAAGTTCACAAAATCAGAAAAATACACCGAAAATTTATACAAACTCCTTGCGATATTATATTTGACTATGAAGTATGAAAGTCCAAATTTGAGTTTAGGAAATTTGAATTAATAATTGGAGGAAGAGTTGTAGTGTGGAAGAGTAATGATCTCAATCTTAGTATATAAGGAAACTTGACTTTGATAAATTATTAAGAATACATCATACAACTTAGAAATATAGTATGTACTTGATAAGAAATTTAGTATATATGTTGAGAAATTGTGAACATGGACAATCCAAAAATAAGGTCACAACATGGAAATAGAACATTACTTTATATATTGATATCAATTTCACATAATATAGTTTGTTTTTGTATATAGATATCAGTTTCACATAGCATAGTATAATTTTGTTTGGAATATCAAATTGACCAAATTACATAATTCAATTGTGTAGTAATCCCTTATCATTCAACAACAAATAGCAACCTCAAAAGTTGTTTAATTATTAAATAAAATGAAATAGTCTAAGATTGACATGTGTCAGCTTCTTAAAGCCACTTCATCAGCGTTTCAGAAATGTGGCCCTATCAGATAGCGACACATGTCATTTTCTTGTTATTTATTGTTTTTATCTTTAACAAAATACACTAAAATATGTTACAAACTCCTTATGATGTAGCATTTAATTATGGAGATCTAAAGTTTAAATTAATGAGAATCATTTGATCAAAGAAACAAGAGTGTATGTGATAGAATGTTTTGATTTATATCTATGAACAAAGTTGAGTTGTTATTATTAATTTGTATTTTTATAATTTAGAATTAGCATTTTGGAGCTTTAAGGAGAAGAGAATATCACAAGATGTTCATAGGAATTTTCTGTGTATTTTTTTTCCTTTTGCAAAGCACATGGATGAATGTATGGGATATGCACATGCTTTCGGCGCCTTGGGTTTCCTCCATAGTGGAGGAATAGTTTGTTTTAATGATGATGCTTTTGGTGGAAGATAAGGTGCAATTTGGACTTAAAAAATACTCATCATCCTACACCCTATACCCAATTCCTAACCCGGTTTTGTTAACCATAGACATGGACATCCCACATCCCCCTACTTAGAACAAGTTGACAGCATGGTTGTCGCATCCAAGTTGACAGCTGAGCCGTGGAGGTGGATAGAAGGATACAGTTTTCATGCACTGACACGTGTCTCATTTGTTATAGTTTAATAATATTTTTTTGTAAAATCGTTAGAAAATGGAAATAAAAGGGAAAAATTCCTACCTATTTGTTACCCGAATACTTCGTATGCCAAGTCCAAAAAGTTGCTTACAATTTTCCATGTGTACAAACAATTAAGGTCACTTGACCACTTTGCTCCTCTATGGATCCGTCCCTGTGTACAATTAAGGGCTCATCCCTAACTTACAATTTTGATGAGGCCATGCATTTATTCCGGTTAAAGCTTGCTATAGACTTCTTGATTCCGATTAAAGCTTGCTATAGACTTACTGCAGGGATGCTGCAGTATATAGCTGTGTGATTGTGGGTGAAGGAATTGTTTAACTACCTTAGTTTTAAATTTTATTGATAAGAATTGTTCAGGTATAAGGTTTTGAACTCGTGTGGTATTGCCAACCGTGTGAACACACATGCAAAACTATTTTGATCACGATGAACGTGAATATATTAGCCATTGTTTTGAAATTCACTGTGAACACAGAGGTGCGTGATGCTTCAAACTGATTTTTTTTTTTTTTTTTGAAACTTGAGAAACTGAAGAAAATATTTTGGGTTTATAAACAGTTAAAATAAGCATGACTGGCTTCCCAATGTATCTGGAAGGTGGGTGAAGTAGTGGTTTGGGTTTCTTTACCCCTTTCCCATTGAGCACTTTACAAACAAAATGCTTATAAGCATTGAAAAAAGACAGAAACACATTCTTCACGGACGAACAAGGTTTACCAAACTTAGGGATTCCCCGTTCACCATTGTCACCAGACCCTTATTATGCTTCATGTCGTCCTTTCTCCTGTCAACCTGCATATCAGTCAAATCTATTGCAGCATATTTCTAAATAGGGACATACCAGTTATGCATCATAATAGATAGTAAATGAACCAACTGAGCATCCATAATTATTATCGTCCATTGAATCATAACAGATAGCCAATGGTAATAATACATCATAACAGATACCAAAAACAACATAACATACATTAAATGCATCATACCATATACCAAATGCATCATAACATATAGAACATGCATCAAAACAGATAGCAAATGCATCGTAACAGATACCAAAGGTATCATAACAGATAGCAAATGCATCAAAAGAGATACCAAATGCAATATAGCAGATATCAAATGCATCAAAACATATAGCAAACGCATCACAACAGACAAGTAAGCTATCACTCCATTCATGGAGAAAAGCTAACCGAAAATTCATATAAAAAAACTAATTGGGCCTCTCTGTTGTTTCGTTTTCTTAAGAAATCTATTTCAGCCAAGACAAACCAAATAGCTGGGAATGCCTTATAACATATAGCAAATGCATCATAAAAGATACCAAATGCATCATAATAGATACCAAATGTATCATAACACTTAGAAAATGCATCATAACATATAGCAAATGCATCATAGTAGATATAAAATGCATCATAACATATACCAAATAACCCAAATGATACATACCTGGAACATAGTATCTATTATCGTCATGTCAGAACCCAGAAACCCAAATGATACTACAACACAAGTTAATACACAACTACCTCAAAACTCAGAGACCCACGTAGTGGAAAACCAAAATATCCAATTTCAGAAAATCAAAGACATATGTCAAGAATAGAAGCAACACCCATGTCTCAAAAACTTCATATACACTTAATTCACACTAAAGATATTAAATTCCCAAGCTGTCCATCCCAAAACGATCAAATTAAGCAATGATATGAACTTCAATAAAAGCTTAAAACCCACTAATAATCGTTCAAATTAAGCAAGATATAACAATATTTCACAGAAAACAAAACCCAAAACCCAAAAACGATAATGAAAAAGGAATGGAAGAAGAAGAAAATCGTACTAGGGTCAACTAGATTATACCTGCTAATATAAGATGCAATGAGTATCACAGTCAAAGAACGAGCTTTAGAGCTCACTTTCTTCCATGTCTTCTATTTTTCTCTCAGATTTTCAGCTTTCTCTAGAAAAAAAATATAACGTCAGCTCACAACTAGTACCGAGAAAGAGTAGTCTTACCTGCACAGAGAGGGAGCAGCCCATATGTGTAAACCCAGAAAATCAAAGCCTAAAATCCTAAACAAAAATTAAACATTAAAGAATGCAATAGAAAATGCAAAACATAATATCAAACTTTGAAAATATATTACTCTCTCAAATAGATCTCAGACATTACCCTCTCAAATAGATCTCGATTTTTGAATTGTGATAGTGAAAGCGCAGAGAGAGAGAGAGAGAGAGAGAGAGAGAGAGAGAGAGAGAGAGAGAGAGAGAGAAGGGGATGGAGGTTGACGCAGAGAAACTAAGAGAGCAAGACATGAGGGAATTGAGTGAGAATTGAGAGAAAGAGAAAGGGAGTTCCAGAGAAATGTATGGATTCTAACATAAGAAAATAGGAGATGGTGGTATTGATGAGGCGAATCTGTTTGAGAGGAATAAGAGGGATTCTGAAACCAAAAAAAAAGAAAAAAGGACGCGGTTGGAAGGAAGAAGGGCGGGACGAGATTGGAAAATGCGCGCCATGACACGTGGGCTAAGGGGGAAGTGCAGTGTACCCGTTTCTATTGTAAGTTTGGTTTTTCTCTCCAGCCGTTGAGATCACTTAGATGGCTAAGATGGAGCCGCAAGTAAAGGTTTGCAAAAAGAAGTTCCCACCTGAGCCTACGCGTATTTTAATATCCTAATCCTATCAAATCTCACTTCACTCTCTCTCTCTCTCTCTCTCAATTTCCCATAACTGACACAAGGCATGCTTTCATCTTTTCAATGTTACTTTATTTTTCCTGTCAGATTCATCTTTTCATCTCCCCCACTTATCTTTCTTCTTTCTTCTTTCTTCCTATTTCTTTTTCTCCCTCACTCTCTTCTTTGTCTTCTTTCTTTCATTTTATTTTATTTTCTATCCATCTCATCTTCTTCCTTTTCTCTTTTTCTCCCTCTCTCTCCGTCTCTTCTTCCTCTTCTTTTTCTCTCCCTCTCTCTCCTTCTCTTCCTCCTTTTTTTTTTTTCTCTTTTTCCTCACTCTTTCTCTGGTGCAGTTTTCTTCTCTTGCTCTGGTTTTTCCCCTTCTCTCTCTGCGCTTTTCTTCTCTTTCCTCTGGTGTTTGGTTTATTTCTGTTTCTCTCTCTCTTTCTTCTTGTAGATCTAAAATTAGATATGTGGGCATTTGTTTGTTGAATATGTTTAGCAGTTTAGATCTGTTATTTTTGAATATGTTTTTAGCTTGGTTTATTTGTATTCCTTTGTTTTATGTTTGAGATTTTTCTTATGGGAGCTGATTTTCCGACTCCCTTTTTCTCCACTTACACTCCCTTTTGCATTTCTCTTCTCTTTGGCAAGGTGGTGCATCTTGCAATCTTTTTAATAAATCTTGCCTCCATTTGCCTACTAGCATCCAATAATCTTCTTCAACCTTAAGATAAAATAATGAAATCATCATCAATTATGTAATGGGTATGTAAGCAAGTGCAAAAGTGAAAAACAAACCTAATTAACTAAAATTGTAAGAAAATCAATTACTAACAAATATATTTAGGGATAAAAAATGTGATAGTTTATGTGCTCATCACTAACCACACAAAACCCACCACTCACCACCACCCACCTCGTCTCCCTCTCTGTTATGTCTTTCCTTCTTCCCCCACCCGCATGCCCAGCCCCAACAACACAAGCTCGCCACAACCTCTCCAAAGCTCATGTTCCTCTTCGATGTCCACCACCACCCCCAGCCAAATCCCATAAGCCCTATTTCGCTCTCTAACCAAATACAAGTTAAGGCACAAAGGGAAAATTATTGTACTGGATTGAATTCATTCTCTCTTTTCAATTTTTTGTTTTTAAATTTGCATATAGAGTAGAGAATTAGTTTTTGAAATAGGTGCGAGTTCGACTTAATGAGGTGCTGGGAGAGAGAGGTGGCAAATTCAATTTTGTGAGTATCAACGCTGTGATACGATTTGGTTGTGTAGGTTGAGGCTTGGGTGGTCACTGCGATTCTTGTGGTTTGTTTGCGGTTGGGTTGGCGGTGATGATGAAGCTGGGGGCACTGGGATGGGGGAGGCCAGATCTGGCCTTTGTGGGTCTGCTTATGGGTGGGTATTAGGAAGGGGGGGTATTAGGAAGGGGGGCTGGGCGGTGGTGCAGCGAGGCAGAAGAAGATGAGGGGTGGAGACGTGGGGGTTTAGAGTATTTTTTTCAATAAGGGTTTAGGTGGTGAGAGTGGTGGTTGTAGGAGGGTCAGCTGAAAAAAAAGGGTACGGTGGCTTTGTGGTTGGTGGTAAAAGTAGTAAACTACCAAGGAACAAAATGACTTTCTGCCTTAACAAAATAAATTCATTCTACATGTAGATGCATGTCAAAATTAATAATAGCACTGATTCCATATAAAATTCTAGGAGATTACAAAAAATATTTAAAAATGATTTCGAAGGTAAGTTTCAATTTTAGAGGAAAGAAGAACGTGAAGAACTGATAATAATTTTCAGATGTACCGGAACAAGAGTTAAAAATGATTTCGAAGGTAAGTTTCAATTTTAGAGGAAAGAAGAACGTGAAGAACTGATAATAATTTTCAGATGTACCGGAACAAGTCTGTAGCTAGCGTAGGTGGAAAACTCAACCTCTACATATTTAGAGCCCAATAAGAAGTGACAATGTCATTACTTTGTCAATTACGTTATTTTTCTTTCAGCGGTTATAATGTCATTTCTTTGACCATAATGTCATTACAACGATCTCATCAATCACATATTATGCCCAAGAATTTAAACAATCTACAAATTTAAATTGTGAAGAAAACAATTCTGTGTCAAATTTCTTTTCACAGTTTGACCCAAACGGCTATTAGGAGACTCCACTATGCGGCTACTCACACATATGCACCATTATATTGCGTGTTTGAATATAGCAGTGAGTTTTGGGGGGTTTCTTTACGGTTCTCAGGCGCAGCACGTAATTCCTCCTCTATATAAAGGCTATGCTATGCAGCATGCCAGCCAGAGCCAACTTATAATTCTCAAGATTATTACCAACAACAACAACAAAAAACCTCAAGTTATGGCAATGCAACTACGTTCTTTTCTCTTAGGCATACTCAAATAGCAAAGAAGATATTAGAGCTCCACCCACGCATTTTGACACTGCTTCTCTCAATAGGAGCAGTTTTCCAGAAGGATTCATATTTGGTGTAGGTTCTGGATCTTACCAAGTAAGTCCTTTTCTGGGCTTTAATTTGAGTTTTGATTAGGGTTTTCTTTCAAATTCAGACCAAGCATCGATCCTTGCATGAATGCTGACATCTTCTTCATTGTGTCTCATGTGTATTTCAGTATGAAGGTGCTGCAAAAGAAGGTGGTAGAGGACCAAGCATTTGGGATACTTTCACCCACAAATATCCAGGTTTGTCCAATCAAATCATCAATTAGTAAAAATAACAAAATCGTTCTACTTTTACTCTTATGCTCTAAATAAATAAAAATTTTATGATTAATTGCAGAAAAGATTAACGATAGCAGCAATGGAGATATCGCTGTTGATCAATATCACCGCTATAAGGTTCATGACCCAATGTGCACATATTAAATTTTGAAGCATGAAGAAAACTCATCACATCGAAGATAAGCTCCCAATAATTTTTATCTGATTTTTTTTTTGTTATGCACTGTAGGAAGATGTGGGGATTATGAAGAATGTGGGGTGGGATGCTTATCGATTCTCTATCTCATGGTCAAGACTGTTACCAAGTAAGTTCATTTGTGACCAATCGTCAATATTTCTGCCTTCATGGTTTTCGCTTAAGTAATGTGTCCAAGTTGTCTACCGAAAAATATAACAAATTTTTATTTTGTGTCAATTAAAATACTTAATTGAAATAACTTAAGCAAAAATAAGTTTTTTTTTTCAAACATAAATTAAATAGAAGTCAAAGTTCAAGTTCGATAACATATAGTCCAACTTTTTTAAAGTTAAGTTTAATTGTTATCGGTGCACTTATTTCTTTATTTTCTGATTTTTTTTAAATTATTAGATGGAAAGTTAAGTGGAGGAGTGAACAAGGAAGGAATCAAATATTACAACAATCTCATCAATGAGCTCTTACGCAATGGTGAGTCATCCCACCTTACATGATCAATAATTTACACAATAAGAGTTACATGCACTCATAAAAAAAAAAGTCATTTTGTCAAACTTATAACTCGCTTTTATTGATGGTGCTATTTATAGGTTTAATGCCATTTGTGACACTCTTCCATTGGGATCTTCCCCAAACTTTAGAAGATGAATATGGTGGTTTCTTAAGTCCTCATATTGTGTAAGTGAAGAAATTAGTCCTTTGAATTGTATTGATAATTTAATTAATAAATACAATTATGACATTTACGTTCTGAAATGTGTATATACAGCAATCATTTTCAAGATTACGCAGAACTTTGTTATAAGGAATTTGGTGATCGAGTAAAGCATTGGAGCACATTGAATGAGCCATATACCTTCATTTACTCTGGTTATGTAGTCGGGACCGGTGCGCCAGGACGATGCTCCATTTGGCAGCAGCTAAACTGCACCGGCGGAGATTCATCTACTGAACCATATTTGGTAGCACACCACCAGCTCCTTGCTCATGCAGCTGCCGTAAAATTGTACAAAGATAGATACCAGGTACAATTAATTAGTTTGTTGCAACAAGAGAGCGACTACTTTACCTTTTTGTGACTCTAAAACAAACAAACTAAATGTTCTTGTGTAGGAGTCTCAAAATGGAGTGATAGGGATAACCCTGAATTCAGATTGGTTTGAGCCCCTATCGAAAGAAAAAGAAAATAAAAATGCTGTATTACGAGCTTTGGATTTTATGTTCGGATGGCAAGTGAATTTCGAATTTGCTTATGAATATAATATTTACTACTTACTAGCAAGCAATACATAATATAATGTCAAGTTAATCCTTGAAAATTTTACATTCTTATAGGTTTGTTGATCCATTGACAAGTGGTGACTATCCGCAAAGCATGCGATCTCTTGTTGGAAGCCGATTACCAAAATTCACGAAAGAACAATCCAAGTTGCTAATTGGTTCATTTGATTTTCTTGGGCTAAATTATTATACGGGTTACTATGCAAGTGATGCACCTCAAAATAACTCGGTATACGCAAGCTACACAACAGATGCTAGAGTTAATCTTTCATGTGAGTACAAATTCAGAATTTAATTCAAGCAATTAACTTTATAGACTAATTAGATTCTGATATTCGTATGTGTTGTGGCAGCTGAGCGAAATGGGGTCTCCATCGGTCCAAAGGTACACATTAAATCGTTTTGCACTTACAAATGTGACTCCTAAAAATCTAAAGATCTTCAAATTTTGTTGTAGGGTGCTTCGGAATGGTTAAATGTTTATCCACGAGGAATTCAATATCTTTTACTCTACATAAAGAAAAAGTATCACAATCCAATTATTTACATTACTGAAAATGGTAATATTTTCTAGCCTTAAGTAATTGCATGATCAATGTTTCACATATTTTTGGTGTAAAACACGCACAAGTGGTACAAAGTCTAAATTTGTAACTACATAATAATGTATTACGTATTGTAGGTGTGGATGAGTTGAATGATCCGAAATTATCACTTGCCGAAGCCCTTAATGATACTAATAGAATTGACTACTACAATCGCCACCTTTATTATGTTCAAAGTTCTATTGAGTAAGTGTATTAAAAAATTTATTTATAATATTTAAATATATATGTATATGGTATAGCTTTAGATTTTGAGTTATTGATTCATATTATTGACATTAATATATTTAATTTCCATTTATTGCTTTTTAGCAATGGTGTCAAAGTGAAGGGATTCTTTCCGTGGACGTTGCTAGACGACTTTGAATGGAGTTCAGGATTCACTATTCGATTCGGTATCACCTATGTAGATTACAACGATGGGCTTAAAAGGCACCCAAAACTCTCGGCACACTGGTTCAAAAGTTTCCTTAAGAAGTATTGAAAATTTCAAATCATATTCGTCAGTCAATATTTGTATTTAATTCAATAATGTGAATTTTATGTATGTAAAATAATACTAGGGATTCCAAATTTGTGTACATACAAAATTTGAATTCCAAATTTGTGTACATTCAATAATTTCAATTTTAGTCCTTGTATAAGATTAAAATTCCATTCAACCCCTTTGTAAAATTAAACATTGATTTTTAGTCCTTTGATGAGTGTCAACATACGCATAATTATGAAACTCATTTGTTTGTAGTCCTTTGACTGATTGTCTTGAATCTTGAGGTTTTTCGTGTTTACGCAAAACCCTCTAAGGTCTTGGAAATTACACAAACACCCCCTCAGGTTTCAAAATGGTTTCACATAACTCCAAAAATCCAAAAAAAAACCTAAAATTGGATGTAAAGGGACTCTTGCATAGACTAAAATACCCTTCATGATATCATAACTGTTTGGATACAGTTGCACCATAATCCCTAAACCCTAACAAAAATAAAATAACAATAAATAAATCATAAGACGCATCGTACTATTCCATGAGAAAAAATAAAGACCCTTCCTCTCTTCCATCTCTGCTCCATCATCAAAATCCTTTGTTGCTTTGAAAAGACAATTCTCAGATCCTGCTATCTCATTGCACCTTCTTGACCTTTCTGCTTTGTAGCGTTATGATTTAAGTTGGGAGGAGTTAATCAAACAAGCCAAGAAATAGGAAGTCAAGGCCCTGCTCCAAGTCAAGACGCGTTGTGAGCAAAACCCATATAGCAAACGAAGAAGCTGGTACTCAGCCGTTGCGAAGAAGTTGCTCTAGTTTGATTTTTTGGTTTGAGTTAGGATTGACCCTTTTTTTTTTTTTTTTTTTGTTATTGGAAACATATGGGAGAAGGCATGGAAGAGATGGAGAGGACGAAGGAAAGCGTACGTCTTTTTTTTCCTTGGGGAAAGGGTACAATGCGTGTCTAATGGGTTAGTTTTTTTCTTTTTACTATTTTATTTGTAGTATAATATTGTGTAGAGATTAGGGTACAATTATATCAAACAGTATTCTAATACCATGAAGGGTATTTTAGTATATGCAGAAGTATTGTTATATCAGGTTTTAGGTTCTTTTGGATTTTTGGGGTTATGTGAAACCAATTTGAAACATAAGGGGGGTGTTTGTGTAATTTTAGGACCTTAAGGAGTTTTGTGAAAACACGAAAAACCTCAGGGGGTGTTAGGATAAATAAATCCCCGAATTTTCACCCATTCGTTTAAATTCTATTATACTTTGACCATATACTACGGTGACAAATTTTTTGAAATTTAGTAGCCCACTATTCAGATGCTACAGTACGGCTCGTGACACGAGCGCATATGCGCATTCTGATCTCTAATCGAACTTGAGGCTCAACTTCAATGACCCAAATTGTCTATTTGTTAGAATCTCATCAAAACATCATCCTAACAAAAGAATAATCAATCAAATTGGAAATTATCTAATTATTTAGTTATGGTCAAATAAAGAAATCAACACAATTATGAAAAGTTGAAAAAAAAGAGGATGATAATCAAGAACTGAGTCTGTGACAGGAGAGAGTAGGATATTGTTGTAAGCTTTAGATAGAGAAGTTTCTATTCTCTTTGTTTTTTTCTTTAGGGTAACCATGCTTAGATGGGTTAGAGATCATCATAGAGGTTGCCCCTTTTTTTGGTTGTCAATCTGGTAATATCATCATTAAACCAGGGCGAGGAACAAATACCAGTTACAAAAGCAAAAGTCTAAAAGACAAAGGGGCAATAAAAAAAACCAGAAGCTTGTGACGATGCGAAAGCAAGCAGAAGGCCATAGTGTTTCAGAGTATTGATCTTATAATTGATGATGACAAAAATATCTTAAGTTATTCGAGTCATGCATGTTTGATTTTATAGTGAATTACGCAAAAATCTAGGCAACCAAAAAAATAAGAGAATTTCCAATGTGTCAGTACATAATGGTAAGATGTGAAATTGAGATGGAATATGAAAAGAGACAACAATACGAGAAGAAGAATTTGCAGACAATAGAGAATTTGTGCTTTAAACAAAGAAGCCGAACACCTGGATTACTACAAAGGCTCACAATCCATCTTCTACTGGTGCTTTAACATTTAAAATTTTAACATTAACAAAATGCAAAAAGTCATTTTTGGGCCTCATAGTGTACCACTTTTATCACTAAGGTCCTTGTAGTTTCAATTTGATCAATTTTGTCTTTGTAGTTTGAATTCCGAGCAATTCAAGGACAAGACCTAATTTTTTTTTGTCAAATTACTCTAATATAGAGGGGCATTTCAGTCCAATCTTGCATCCCCTTCACAACCATTCCCCAGCCAGACACAAAGACAGAGATTGGGGTTTTCCATGCATTGCTCGGAATTAAAAGTACATGGACTATCCGCAAAGTATGCGATCTCTTGTCGGAAGCCAATTACCAAAATTCACAAAAGAACAATCCAAGTTGCTAATTGGTTCATTTGATTTTCTTGGACTAAATTACTAAACGAGTTACTATGCAAGTGTTGCACCTCAAAATAACTCGATATACGCAAGCTGCACAACAGATGTTGGCGTTAATCTTTCATGTGAGTACAAATTCAAAATTTTATTCAAGCAATTAAAGTTTATAGACTAATTAGATTCTGATATTCATATGTGTTGTGGCAGCTGAGCATAATGGGGTCCTCATTGGTCCAAAGGTATACATCAAATTACTAGATTAATTAAGTCTTTATGATTTCAACCATTAATCGTTTTGCACTTACAAATGTGACTCCTAAAATTCTAAAGATCTTCAAATTTTGTTGCAGGGTGCTTCGGAATGGTTAAATGTTTATCCACGAGGAATTCAAGATCTTTTACTCTACATAAGGAAAAAGTATCACAATCCAATTATTTACATTACCGAAAATGGTAATTTTTTTCTAGCCTTAAGTAATTGCATGATCAATGTTTCACATATTTTTGGTGTAAAACATGCACAAGTGGTACAAAATCTAAATTTGTAACTACATAATAATGTATTATATATTGTAGGTGTGGATGAGTTGAATGATATGAAATTATCACTTGCCGAAGCCCTTAATGATGCCCATAGAATTGACTACTACAATCACCACCTTCATTATGTTCAAAGTTTTATTGAGTAAGTGTATTTACAAATTCATTTATAATATTTAAATATATATGTATATGGTATAGATTTAGATTTTGAGTTATTGATTCATATTATTGAAATTAATATATTTAATTTCCATTTATTTCTTTTTAGCAATGGTGTCAAAGTGAAGGGATTTCAAAAGGTACGTTTCATTTTGGGGGGACATAAGAACGTGAAGAAGTGATAATAATTTTCAGATGTGCTTAAACATGTACGTGGAAAACTCACCCTTGCATATTTAGAGTCCAATAAGATAAACATACAGTGATGACCATTTTTTTTAATAAAATAAAATAAAATTCAAGCCGTTTTTTCCTTTTGCTACTCTTTTGACGTTTTCAAAAGATGATGTACCTTGAATTAGGACATGAAGGGAAATCTCAAATCATCATCCTAACCAAAAAATAATCAATCAAATTGGAAATTATCTAATTATTTAGAACTGAGTCTGTGACGAGAGAGGAGGATATTGTTGTAAGCTTTAGATAGAGAAGTTTTTATTCTCTTTGTATTTTTCTTTAGGGGGGTAACCGTGCTTAGATGGGTTAGAGATCATCATAAAGGTTGGCCTTTTTTTTAGTTTTTAGTTTTGGTCAATCTAGTAATATCATCATTAAACCAGGGCGAGGAACGAATACCAGTTACAAAAGTAAAAGTCTAAAAGACAAAGGAGCAATAAAAAAACCAGAAGCCTAGAGTGACGATGCAAAAGCAAGCAACAAGCCACAATGTTTTAGAGTATTGATCTTAACGAAGACAAAAATATCTTAAGTGATTCGAGTCATGATGTTTGATTTTATATTGAATTATGTAGAATAGAAATCTAGGCGTCCAAAAAATAAGAAAGAGAATTTCAAATGTTTCAGTACATAATGGTAAGATGTGAAATTGATATGGAATATGAAAAGAGAAAAAGAGAACAATACGAGAAGAAGAATTGCATATAATAGAGAATTTGTGCTTTAAACCAAAAAAAAAAAAAAAAGAAGAAGCCGAACACATGGATTCACTACAACAAAAAGGCTTTTTGATGACATGGTTTTAGTGATGTGTCAAGAATACCCGTCATTAAATGTAATTATCTATGACGTGCTTTTAAAATGCGTCATTGAAGCTGGTTTGTGATATCCTTCAATGACATCCGAATATCCACGCCATTGAATATGCATTCAATGACGCGTTTTACATGACTGCAGAGGCGCACAATCCATCTTCTACTGGTGCTTTAGCATTTAAAATTTTCACATTAACAAAAGGGAAAAAGTCATTTTTGGGCCTTTTAGTTTACCACGTTTACCACTAAGGCCACTGTAGTTTCAATTTGATCAATTTTGTCCTTGTAGTTTGAATTCTGAGCAATTCAAGGACAAGGCCCAATTTTTTTGTCAAATAACTCTAATATGGAGGGGCATTTCGGTCTAATCTTGCATCCCCTCCACAACCATTCCCCAGCCGAGAGAGAGAGAGAGAGAGAGAGAGAGAGAGAGATGCCCTTTCATATTAGATTAATTTGACAAAAAAAAATGAGGATTGTCCTTGCATTGTTTGGAATTAAAACTACAAGGACCTTAGTGGTAAAAATGGTAAACGACAAGGACCAAAATGACTTTTTGCCTTAACAAAATAAATCCATTCTACATGTAGATGCATGTCAAAATTAATAATAGCACTGATTCCATATAAAATTCTAGGAGATTACAAAAAAAATTTAAGAAATGATTTCAAAAGGTAAGTTTCAATTTTAGAGGAAAGAAGAACGTGAAGAAGTGATACTAATTTTCAGATGTGCTTGAACATGTGCATAGCTAGCGTACGTGGAAAACTCATCCTTGCATATTTAGAGTCCAACAAGATAAACATGAGTGATGACTTTTTTATTATAAAATAAAATAAAATTCAAGCCGTTTTTTACCTTTTGCTACTCTTTTGACGTTTTCAAAATATGATGTGCTTTGAATTAGGACATGAAGGGAAATCTCATATAATATTGCAAAGCACTTTTGCTCACCACCTTTAATTGATATTAAGTATAATTATCACGGTAATTATCGTTGAATCAGTGTAATTTACTTGCTACATGAACACGAATCTCAAGAGTTAAATGTGGTGAGCTATGCTATGTTCTCTAATACACCTCATGGTAATTACCAAAAAAATAAATCATGTGATATATAAGGAGCTGAATATCGTATGCTATACATGTCCACCAAATTTACCTTTTAATAAGGGTGGAACCAGGAATTTTTCGATGGGTGGGCTGGCTAAAACTTTTTCTTTTTTTCCATTGACTAATTTTCAATAAACTTTATAAGACAAATACATATTAAATGTAGCCAAAAAAACACACTATCAAAATTAATGTGTTCAACAATATAATTGAAAGTGTACCTATTCAAGTTTCTTGTTTCTTGGCATCAACCGAATAAGACAAATACAAAGTGAAAAAATATAAATAATTAAGTTTCACATATATATTAGTTATGAACACAAGAAGAATATAATTAGGGTACTGTTCCGTTTTTGAAAGCATCTTCCCACCTGTGAGTTTTAATTACCAACTGCTATATATAATTATGGGTTGAAAGACTTGTAAGGGTTTCTATTGAGTACAATATTAAGAAGCTTTCCTTTTTATTTTGGGGGAAAAAACGATTATTGACTTTGCCAACAAAAGGAAAAAAAGAAAGCAAAAGGCTGCATGCTTCAAGGGGAAAAAAACAAAACCAAGGCTGCTAAGCAATTGCATGATTCGGTCAATTTTATTGGAGGATTGGATCAAAGTAAAAGGTAGCAAATTTGGTGCGCCATATAGATACAGGTAATATTTTTTTCTTCAAAGCTTTCCTAGGAGCCCACCACAGCCGTGGCTGTAGTTCCGCTCTTGCCTTCTAACATTTGGGGAAGATCCCAGTGGAAGAGTGTCGCAAATGATGTTAAACCTATAAATAACATGATCAATAAAAGCATATTAAAGTTTTGTTTAAATGATTATTTATGATTGCAATGTAAATGTTATTGTATATAGATTATTAATCATGTAAGGCGGGATGAGTCACCATTGCGAATGAGCTCATTGATATTTAATTCCTTCATTGTTATAATTAGATCTAATTATGAATCCAACATCAGAAAATGAGAAAATAAGTGAATTGATAAATAGGCATACAACAGATGCCTTTCCCATAACACATTCTATTCTTGGATAATATATTTTAGCAGAAAATTTATTCCAATAATCAAGTTTAGGATACATAATTCAAGCTAAACACACTCTTCGTATGGATCAAGTTGAACTAAATTGAATTTCGGATATATATATTTTTTATATGAGAAAAGGGGGTTAAATAAACCCCAAAAGAAAAAACAAACAGACTACAGTACATTAATCAAACGGACCTTAGCTGCCCCCAGCAAATCATCAACTAGCAGGTTGCCAAGCCAAACAGGATGAGCAATGAGAAAAAAAAAAAAAACAGCAGTATCAAAATATCCAGACTTGAACATCCATGAAAGCATTATACAAACAGCATTATACAAAAAATTAAAGCGTTGAACAGCATTATACAAAAAATTATTTAAAAAAAATCTAAATATCTAAGCATACAAAAACAGAACAAATTTTTTTTAAACAAAAAAGCATTATACAAAAAATTAAACAACATTATAGAAGGAGAGGGGAATTTTACCAGAGGGGGTTTCGAGGGAGACCTGAAGAGAACGAGCCCGGTGACGCAGGGGGAGTGGCTGGTCGTCGTCTCCGGTTCGAAGAGAGGGATGAGAGGGATCGAAGGAGAGAGGATCTTAGAGGGGTCGAAGGAGAGAGGGAAAGTACTGAGTGAAAAAAAAGAGCCTTTTTTTCACAACTGGGCCGCCAAAAATTTTCGCGCACTTGCGCGACGACAAACTAACGCGTCGCGCAAGGTAATATTTTTACGCCAAAATTATCGAAACTTGTGCGACGTAAGAATACACTGACATTGCGCAAAAGTTTTGCGCGACGAACAAATTCAGGCGTCGGTTCAAGGTTCAGGGTTTAGGGTATGGTTCAAGCGTCGCGCAAAGTATTGTTTACTATTGTACCGCCAAAATTATCACAACTTGCGCGACATTTAATCACATTTGCGTCACGCAAACCCTTAACCTGAACCCTAACCCTCGACCCGGGAAAATTATTACACATTACGCGAGTTTTTACGACAACGGTGTCGATGCGTCTCGCAAGTTTTGTTTTTTGTTTTTTTTTTCAAACTTGCAAGTATTCTAAAATAATAGAAATAATTGTAACCAATTGCATTTTCAGATGCAAATGCATGAAATCTACATTCTTGCATCTTGACCACCTTCAAATGGCAATTAACATAATATATAATTTTTTTTAAGGATGTTTTAGTGGTAGGTTGTTTTACAAAATTTTAAAAAATTATACAAAATAACCATTTCTCCCAAATAAATAACAAGTACTTTCTTCCACTCAAAACAAAACCAAAAAAAAAAAAAAATTTCATGTCTTCTTGTTTCTCTTGAACTCTTATTTTTGTACCGAACATACTAATATTTAACTTTATAAAATGAAAACATTAATATATTTAAATTACAAAAATTTCATTTACTATGTTTTACATGGGAAGTCACAAATAAATTGCATTATTCATCATCTAAACTATAGTAACCTTCGTTATCGTCGCTATCATCACTTTCGATCTACCAATCCTCCTCCTCTATAACTACATCACCGTCGTTATTCAGGCCCACTGCAACATCGTATCGCAGAAGATCACCGACGTCAATTGTAATTGACTGAATCGGTATTTCGATTGAAGACACCCGTGTATCTGAAACAATTCTTGTATAGCATTTGTATCTCGAAGAATTTCCGTATCATTTTCCATTGAAGATTCTAAACGTTGGTCAATGACGTTGTCGACGTCGTTGTCAGTTGGGTCTAGTTCTGGTATAGCATACACGTTCCTCTGATCCATCTTTTGAACAACTTTCCAACCACTCCCGGCTTTAGGGTCATTTAGATACACAATTTGGGTTGCCATGTTTGCCAAAATGTAAGGGTCATCATCATACCAAGTTATGTTAATGTTCACAGATAGTAAGCCATGGTCGATTTTAACACTTCCCTGCCTATTTGGGTTTGTATCAAACCATCGACACTTAAACATGATCACTTGGTATCGGTCTTTGTAAAGCAATTGCACGACAGTTGTGAGTTTGCCATAGAAATCAATGTCCGTACTTTCGCCTCCACCTAGGACATGGACACCGCTGTTTTAGGTACACAAATTGTCATCTCGTGCAGTCCCGAAAAACTTGATGCCGTTAACATGGCAACCCGAGAACAATTCAGCACGAATTGGGCCGAATGCCAAGTTATATAACTCTTCACTGTAAGTGGGGGAATTCGATGATTTCAACTTATTCACCTAATATTATACAAAAACATTCACATGTTAGTTTGAGAAAATTAAATACTACAATATATATGTCAAATACAAAACACTTATTACTTACATATTCCAAAAACCATTGTAGAAACAATTCACGGTGTTTCTTGGCATACAATTGTGATGGATGTTCTCGCTTCATCATCTCTTCATGCTCATCTAAGTATGTCATTATCTCATCACAATTGTTCAGTACAAACCAATGCGCTACCTCCATGTCATTTCTGGAAAACGACTTTCCTCGTACAGGATCTCCAAAGGTCGTGTGCTTTGGGCAAAAACAGAAAGTTTCTCATTTCTCACACCTCCGTCATTATTGCGCTGAGGACGATTGAAAGCCATCTCCACATCTTTTAAATACATTCCACAGAAAGTAAGCGACTCATAATGAACCCAAGCCTCTATAATTGATCCTTCGGGCTTCGCTCTGTTGCGTACACTTTTTTTCAACTCTCCGAGAAGCCTGCCAAAATAAAATGATACGATACAAATTAGCAAGCGTGGGATAATGATGCATAAATGAATTATAAGGATTATATACCTTTCTATTGGATACATCCAGCGATAGTTGACAGGACCAGAAAGCAATGCCTCTTCTAGCAAGTGAACCATCACGTGGATCATACTTGTGAAGAAAGCGGGAGGGAATATCATCTCAAACTTGCATAGGACTTGGACAATGTCATGGCGCAACTGATTAATTTCTGTCTTTCGCAACGTTTTTGCCGTCAGTTGGGAAAAAAATCTGGACAACAACATGATTAGTTTCACTACATCTTCCGGCAATAAGTGTCGAATACAAACAAGAAGTAGGTGTTGCATAAACACATGACAGTCATCGCTCTTTAGTCCAGCAAATTTACCCCCGTCAACATTCACACAACGCGTGATATTAGAAGCATACCCATCAGGAAACTTTACAAACGATAGAAACTTTAGAAACTCTTTTTTGTCATTTGGTTTTAAGGAAAAAAAAATGCAAGATCCCTTCTAACTTTATCATTGTCCCTATTCATCCATAAACCCCTTCGTATGCCCATTCTTTCCAAATCAAGACGAGCTTTGATCGTGTCTTTTGTCTTGCCCTCGATATCTAGAATCGTGCCCATCAATGTGTCAAAGACATTTTTCTCAACATGCATAACGTCGAGATTGTGTCTCAATTTTAGTTTCGACCAATATGGGAGCTCAAAAAACATAGGCTTGTCCGTCCAGTTCATATGTGTAGAAGGTCTGGTCCGACTAACTGCTTTCCCGAACGGGGCAAAATCCAAATGGTTAAGCTGTTCCAAGATCTCATCACCAGACCATTCTCTAGGTCTGAGGCGATGCTCTATGTTCCCGTCAAACTCTTTATCCTTTTCCCGCCACTCGTGGTTCCATGACAACCATCTCCGATGACCAAGGTAACAAACTTTTCTAGCATGCCAACCAGAAGTTATATCTTCCTTGCATACAGGGAATGCTATATAACCCTTTATGCTTCACCCAGAAACCATTGCATATGCCGGAAAATCATTCACAGTCCACATAACTGCTGCCCACAAAATGAACATCTTCCCAGTAGATTTATCATATGTGCGCACACCGTTTGTCCATAAATCCTTGAGCTCATCAACCAATGGCCTTAAGTAAACATCAATTGACTTACCAGGATCCTCAGTTATGAAAACAGTCATCATCATGTAATCTTTTTTCATGCATTTCCAAGAGGCAAATTATATGGGAATACGAAAATCGGCCAAGTGTTATGGTGTTGGTTTAGAACCCCATACGGATTGAATCCGTCAGTGGCAAGTCTCAATCTAACATTTCGGGGATCAGCAGCAAACTCAGGGAATGTTCGATCGTACTTTTTCCATGTCTCCCGATCTGCAGGATGCCGCATCACATCGTCGTCTACCTGTTTTTCCTTATGTCATCTTATGTCTATAGCAGTATGCGTCGACATATACAATCATTGCAATCTAGGTTTCAGGGGCAGATAACACATGACTTTTTGTGGGATCTTAGTCATTCTATTCTAATATGTCATTTTGAACCTCGACTCATTGCGTATAGGGCATGTATCTAATGTTTCATACTGTTTGTAGAATAAAATACAATTGTTTTTGAAAGCGTGACTTTTTTCGTAACCCAATCCAAGATCATTCAACACCTTTTGCGCGTGTCTATGGTCTTTCGGCAAACAATTATCCGTCAGAAGCATTCTCTTGAAAACCCCCAAAAAGTTATCAAAACACATGTTCGACATACAATACTTTATTTTTCCGTGCATTAGCTCCACATTGGCCTTGAAAACGAAAAAGCTCTCGCACCCTGGGTATAACTCTTGGTTGGTATTTTTTAATAGTTTTTCATATTGTTCGAACTCTGCACTGTCCATTGGTATAGGCATGTCATCTTCCCCTTCCTGATTGATGTTGGTCGATGCAAATGGAAAAGTATCATTTATAATATCCATGACTTGTTCATTAGGATCCACAATAGGTTCAACATTGTCCACTCCTGTGGCCTTTGAAGACGATGCATTGTCTAACTGTTCCCCGTGATGGTTCCAAGTGTTATATGTCTCAATCATTCCATTCCTTACTAAATGAAATCAAACATTTTCAATTGTCTCCCACAACGTGTTATTATAGCTCCTACAAGGACACCGGATTCTAGTTGCACCTGGGTTGTGTGTACGTGCAAAGTCAATAAAATCCTCGATTCCATCCAAGTATTCATCTGTGCATTTATTCGGGTTCTGTATCCACCTCATGCTCATAATTCCTGGAACCACAATCACAACAACTTCATACAAAATCATAATGTCACCTTATGCCTCCGGTAAGGGCCATATCACATTCGGGAATGCATAGTTATGTCACGTAATTTACGACTACATAAGATTAGATTTCGATGTGGATGAATTTCGGCAGCATCTCTATACAGTTCTTGAGGTGTATCGTAGTTATAAAATACCTATGTACCACCCGAAGAACGTACAGAGATGACACCGAAATCTCCACAACCCAAACCTAATCATGTAGCCGTAAATTACGTGACATGACTATGCATTCCCAAACTGTCCAAAATAATGAGACAATTCAAGATTTAATTGAACCGCAGTCATGCTTTCACTTCCATGCATGAAATCCAACTAATCCTCGAACGGGAAACTAAGTTTTACTAAAAATTAAAAAAAATTACGAAGTTAATTTCAATTAACTTTGTACATCACAACACATTGTTCTACTTCATGCACAATTTAATAACATAATATAAATATAATTTCATAAAACAAAATAAACATAACAAACTAAGTTTAATATAACGTAATTAATTTTATATTTTTCAAAATATAAAACGAAGAAAATACATTCTTGCTCGTTCTCCGCCAATCGCCAATCACACATAATATCCTTATAAATAACGAAATTAATGGCGTTAGTATGAACTTACATTAATACTTTTAAACTAACGACAACAAATGATTACCTGGCGAATTCCCAGCAGAGGCAAAGGCAGAGGCAGAGGCAGAGGCAATTTGCAATGGCTGAATCCAGATTATATGACGAAGGATTTTGCGCTACGAAAAAGGTTTGTCACGCCAAAACTCAATTTCATTGCACAAACGGTAATCTTGGTCGCACAAAATACCATTTTATGTCGTGCAGGTACGTGTTGACAACCAACTTTACACGATGAGAAAGCGCTTTCGTCACTAAACAATTCGTCGCGCATAAACGTGCTGACATCGAACTTTACGCGACAACAGGTATCATTCATCATGCAAGTATTTGGCGCCAAATAAAATAACCCTACGTTTTTCTTACGCAACGATTACGTGTATTGTAGCACTAAGAGTTCTATGGCGACGACAGTTGTCATCGCACAAGTTTTTGGCTCCAATTAAAACAACCACGCATTTTTCTTGCTTACTTTACGCAACGACAACGTGTATTATCATGCTAAGTGTTCGTTAGCGACGATAGCTCTCGTCACGCAAGTTTTTGGCGCCAAATAAAATAACCCTGCATTTTTCTTGCTAACATTACACGACGATAGCGTTTATTGCCGTGCTAAGTTTTCTTTTGCGACGATACATATTCATTGCGCACGTTTAGAAATATAAAAATACTATCTGCGATAGTTTGTGCTACGAATGAGCTCTTGCGTCGCGTAAGTGGCTCTTGTGCGACTAATATCTTTTTGTCGCGCAAATTGTAAAACGTAGTAGTGTTGTCGAGTTGGATCCAAGTTGTCGAGTTGGATCCAAGTGATCGAGTTTTATTTAGAAAAACAAGATTTTATTCAAACAAAATTAAAAAGATAGGTTGTAGTTGAGAAAAAATGACTTTGAAGGGGTTAAGCTCAAGTTACTACATAAAATAAAATAACCATGCTGTTGTTGAGTTTGAGGTTTTTACTTTGGGCACTAAAACAGATAGCACATGGAGAAAAATCAATCCCCTGCCTTATAGGTTGGGCTTTCGTAGCCAAAGTTTGTGTGTGAATGGGGCTATACACTGGATTTACAACCCACTCAAGGCAAAGCAGTGAAACTAGCGGCATTTGATGTGAAGGACGAAAAGTTTTGCGTCATGAGACTTCCGAAAGGAGTTTGTGAGCACCATGATTTGGTTCACGTGGAAGACTGCTTGAGCATGCTCGATTGAGATGGTCTTAGGTCGAAGAGAAATATTAGGTTTTGGATTCTAGAGAACTACTATAAGACAATTAGCAAATGGCATAGGCCATTGCATGGTTTTGATGTTTTGCACCATGCCAAAAGTGCATGAGATGTGCACACTGGAAGCACGATAATATCAGAAGAAGTGAGTTTTGTGTTGAGAGTAGGCAACAACACTTAGCAGCAGCGCAACAAGACATGACAGTCAGCATAGCAAGACATGGCAGTGCAAAGGTGTGCAGTACATGAAGAGCAGTGAAGATGCGCACAGAACAGTAGCGAGCAACGTAGGGGTAGTTCCAAAGGTGGTTGGATGTGGCTAGGAGTGCAAAGCGAAAAGGAATGGCTGGAGGTAGTGATTCCTTGAAAGAGAGAGTAACAAGGACAGAAAATTTCCTTGGTACTGTGAGTGGGGATGAGTCCGAGTGTATGGTCACCCAAATGAAGGATCTTAACACCAAGACGGCAGAGATCGAAAGTCTTCGGAGAGTTGAAAGCTTCAATTGAGAAGAAGGCCATCAATATTTAAGGTGATATGGATGGCTTAGCAGAGGCCATTGGTGGAAAGCTCAAAAAGTTGGAGACAGAATTAGGCACAGTGAATCTGGCTTTGAGTGGCAGGGTTTCTAATCAAGAGGGCACAATGACGACAAAGAGCAAAGTGCCTGAACAAAGACATATGTTAGCAAGCGGAGCTCCAAAGAGTTGGAGAATTTCTTGTGGGTGATGAAGCAATATTTTCAAGCTGCCAAGATTCCAGATGCTAAGAGGGTGTCTCTCACGAGCATGCACTTGGCTGGAGATGCTAAGTTATGGTGGAGGACTCGTGTATAAGAGGTGACGAGTGGTGGCAGACCCGCAATTGATGAGTGGGTTGTGCTGAAGAAGGAATTGAGAGCCCAGTTCCTTCCATGCTATGTTGCATGGCTAGCAAGAGAAGCCTTGAAGAACTCGAAGCAAGTGGGTTCAGTGAAGGACTACGTGAAAGCTCTCTGCTCTTTGAAGCTCGACGTGTCTAATATGTCAGAGGAAGACAAGTTGTTCAACTTCCTCACAAATTTGCAACCCTAGGCACAGTCAAAATTGAGGAGACGGGATGAGAAGAGTCTTAATTCCACCATTGCTGCAGTCAAGAGACTAATGGACTACAGAGCAGTAGTCACTTTTAGTGGGAAGAAGGAGAGCAGTCACTTCTAGTGGGAAGAAGGAGCAAGGTGGGAAAAGATATTTAGACAACAATCCAGTCGACAAGGGAAGGAGACTAAGGTTGTTTTAGATGGCACCAAGGTTAAGGAGCACAAGGACAATAAGAAGTTCTCGAGTTGCTTTCTTTGCCAAGGACCCCACCGTGTGAAAGACTGTCCAAGGAGGCAGAACTTGAATGCAATTATGACAAAGAGAGATGGAGGTGCTGAAGAGGGCAACAATCTCCAGGTGAGTCCAATGGTTTTATTGAATTCACTAAGAGTTATCCCACCAAAAGATCCTTTGGGAGAGGATGCGGTTGAGCAACCGGTGTTGAAGGTGATTGAGGTGTTCGTGGATGTGTTTGCTATAAAACCTTCAAAAGTTTTCATTGATGCTTCTTTGCTGCATTGGGGTATGTTGATAGAGGCAATTGAAAACATGGAGCTGAATTGGGATCTGAATTGTGGGTTAGAAGAGATGCAGTTTGCGGTGTTGGTGCATTGTCTGGATACTTGAGGATCTACCTGCTGGATAGGAAGTTTGTGGTGAGGACTTGCGTGTTGCATAATCACATGTATTGTATAGGTACCATTCGAGATGACTTTAGCATTTACTTGGATGTACTAGATGAGTTCGATTTTGAATTGGCCTATATGACCACAAGGCACATAAACTTCGAGGAGTGGTCTGATGAGTTGATGGCAAATGCGAATCAATCTATTTCTTCTACTTCAGACCCTTCGAAAAGTGAGTCAGAGGATGAGCCATGGGTGAGCTCAGCAATTGATAGCATTATAAGGGATGCTATGTTTGAGAAAGGTGGTGAATATCAAGAGGTTAAGTAGGAGATGAAAACAGAAGATGAGTCTGTGGTGGAGACTATGGCCGGTATAATTGTGATATCAAGTGATGACGAAGAGGGGCCTATGAAAGAGTCTGAGATAGAGGTGATCCTAGTTGAGTCAAGTGATGACGAGTCCATAGAGGAGATCAATGGAGAAGTGGTTCAAGCAAAGCCAAGAGATGTTCAGATGAGCAAAGACTACCAAGGAGTTAAGTCCATAAGGGCGTCGGACTTTTGTGGTGGGGGTGGTTTGTAAGACCTTTAGCAAATGGCATATGTCATAGCATGGTTTTGATGTTTTGCACCATGCCAAGGCAAGCCAAAGGTGCATGGGAAGTGCACACTAGAAACAAGACAATGTCAGAAGAAGTGAGTTTTATGCTGAAAGTAGGTAGCCAGACTTGGCAACAAAACATGACAGTCAGCACAGCAAGACATGGCAGCGCACCGCAGCGCAAGGGTGTGCAGTGTAGGGCAGATGCACACAAGATAGTGTGCAGCTCATGCCGCGTAGTGCAGATGCGTGTAAGGCAGTAGCGAGCAGCATAGGACAGTAGAGTGCACAATGTGTTGATAGGATGTGGGCTGGACGTGGCAATTGACTGACAGACGTGCTGTAATGGGTGTCTTTGGACGTGGCTAGGAGTGTTGTATGCTTAGAATTTGGGATGTGGCTAATGGTTGGAGCAAGTGAGGGCAGTTATATGAGAGTGGCTGCATGTTCCAAGGAGTGGTTGAGAATTTTAAGGAGTAAAAATTTGCTCCATGGCTAAATGGGCTGCAAGGTGGCGTCAAAAGTGGGCAGACAGGTTTTTAGATAGAAACAAATGTCTAGGTGGCATATCTAAAGGCTGCCAACGTTTCCTAAGTA